TAGTCCTGCCTCCCTGTCTCTCCCCATGCTGTGCCCTTTGCCTCCTTCTCGTACACCCCAAAACACTGCTCTGTTCTGCCCACTGCCCCCTGTCCATCTCAGTGTGGGTAGAGGAGGAAGGGCACCATCTCAGGGTCTCCACCAGGTCCACCCTACCTGCACCCCCAACCCCCCACCCCCCAACAGGACCCACACCCCCCACACCCAGCCAGAAGCCACCTCAGGGAGGCAAGTAGGATAGTCACAGCCATCCTTGACCTTGCACTGGGAAGGAGGCAGCCATGGCTATCAGACGCACTGGTCCTGCCCCTCAGGGAGTGTCCATTCTGCTCGAGGCATGTCCCAGTTGCCATGGCAGCCCAGCACATGCCTGGAGAGTGCCCTTGGACATATAGAGGCCCAGTGCTGTCACCTGCAGCTGAGGCCCACCCCTGAGCAAGGACAGGGACATGGCACTCACCTTGCCCTGGCGTGTCTACTCACACTGCCACCCAGGCTGCAGCAACACCGCTGGTACCACTACGGGCCCACAGAGCCCAGAGAGACAGGTCTGTCCTCCTGCCCTACCCTCCCACTGGACATGCTGTCCACAGCACAGGGTTGGGCCCCAGGGCACCAGCATGGGCTCCTCCCAGACACTACAGCATGGCACAGCACACAGGGGCCCGTCCTTACCACATGGAGCTGGGGACAGGGCATTTCAAGCAAAGCAATGTCAGAAGAGACAGGGCCATGGGTGGAAGCAAACTGTCCCCCAAGCACTGAGGTGCCGCCAGCAGGCGTGTGACTCTCCTCGGCCCTGGTGTGGCCCTGCTCAGCACAGTGGGTTTGGGGCTGGGGGCTTGGTTCACACGTTGAGGCCCGGCCCCTCAGCTCAGCTGTGCAAGGCTGCCTTGAGGTGCCCTGCCTCACTCACCTCGAGACTGGCTGTCCAGGTGCGGAGGCCTACATACCCGTCCCAGGAGGGCTGGGCTGAGTGTGGGCAGTAGGAGTGGCCACGAGAATAGAGCCCCAAAAGGGCGTTGTGGCAGAGGGGACTATGGATGACTTGGAGGCCCCTAGGGCCCAGCCCACCTGGGAACCAGAGGCCTGTGGCAGGGGTTACTGCTGAAGTCAGGCCGCAGCAGAGGCTGAGCTGGGGGCACCGCGGGCCACAGTATCAAGCACAGGGAGCAGACTCTGGCAGCGGCCCCCTGGCTCCCCCAACTCCCTTAGGACCCTCCCACTAGTGGCCCTTGGGAAGTTGCCCTCTGAGACTGACCACCTGTTCCTGCTGTCCCCAGATTGGGAGCTGCACCCCATACCTAGAGTCATAGCCAGACACACTCCTCCCAGGGAGGGGTGCTGGGTCCCTCTGTGTCCTGGTGTCCGCAGCCTCCTGGCGGGGTGCCTTTCTGATGACCCTGTGGTCAGTACTGTGGGGGCCAGGCAGTGAGGCCATGAAGCAGTGTTGGCAGTCCCAGGACCCCACAGGGCATCCTGTGGGGCAGTGTCTCGGGCTGAACACAGCAGGGCAGCATGGGCTCAGGGCTGCCAGCTGGCCTTCCTCACCTCTTCTCTGCCCTCACAGGCCTCAGGGGACACGCCTACCACCCCAAAACACCCCAAGGACAGCCGAGAGAACTTCTTTCCTGCAGCGGTGGCCCCCGTAGCCCCTGACCCTGTGCTGAGCGACGCTGTCCAGCGGCCCAGTGATGCTCACACCAAGCCTCGCCCTGCACTGGCTGCCACCACAGCTGTCATTGCCTGCCCTCCCTCAGCGTCAGCCTCCACCCCAGACCCACCTAAGGACCCTGGGCCTCCCCGGCCACACAGGCCCGAGGCCACCCCCAGCATGGCCTCTTTCGGCCCAGGTGAGTCCCATCCCAGCCCTGGTGTCATGAGGCCCCCCTGCCCAGCTGTGCCGGAGCCAAGCCAGGCCCTTGCCACCAGCAAGTCCTCCCTATGTGGAGAGGGCAGGCAGGAAGGAGGCAGGGGTTCCTTCCAGCTCAGGTGGTCAGTCCCTCAGGGACAGGCAGCTGCTGGGCCACTCGCCAATCACCGGCAGCGTCGGTAGCCCTGGTCGGCACATCCTTTGGCACTCTTAACCCTCGGTGCCTCGGTCTCCCCATCTGTGTAAGGGGATGGGGAAGAGGGAGAGAACAAGCAGTGTCAGGGACTGTTGGCCACTGTCACGGTATCCTCCCCACAAACCCTTAGGTATGACACACACTATGGCTTGTTCAGGTAAGAAAAGGGGAAACTAGCCCAGACCAGGCCTAACCAGGAACATACTGCCAGGCCACCGACACCTGACCACAGATGCCCGTGAGCAGTTCCTGAGCACCAGGCCCTGCTGATCTGTGCAGGGCTGGCCGATCTGCCCAGGGCCCATCACGCTCCTGTATACAAGACAGAAGCCAGCCAGGATGAGGGCAGGGGCAGGTCTGGGACCTGTGAAAGAAAACAGGACGAGGGTGTGGGCAGTAGAGAGCCTTGCTGGCTGTGTTGCTGGGAGCCCTTGTTCCTTCTAAAACGCAGGACCCACCGGATTGGCAGCCTGCCCAACAGGGGCAGGCCGGGGCTTTCCTCGGTGGAGCACTGAGGCAGCGCCCCTAAGGCCAATGAGTAAGAGGCAGTGGGCAAGACACAGTCACCTTCGCTGGTCCTGACACAGCTGCAGCTCTGGCAGCTGCTAT